GGGACACCAGGCACACTGAGACACTAAGAACACAGACACTGGGAGACATGGAGACACTGAAACATTTGGGGACACTAAGACACTAGGGACACAGACACTGGGAAACTAGGGGACACTGGGAGATTAGGGGATACTGGGAGACTAGGGAACACTGGCTGGGAGACAGACACTTGGGGAGACATGGGGACAGTTGTGGACATAGACATGGGGACATTGGGACACATGGGGACACTAGGCACACTGAGAGACATGGGACACAGACACTGGGAGACTTGGGGACACTGAGACCCTAGGGACACTGGCTGGGGGACATAGTGTCTCCGTGTCCCAATGTCTCCAAATGTCCCTATGTCTCACAGCATCCCCATGTGTCTCAGCATCCCCATGTGTCCCCTAGTGTCTCAGTGTCCCCATGTTTTCCAGTGTCCCCAAGTGTCTGTGTCCCCAGGTCTCACAGTGTCTGTGTCCCCATGTGTCCTAGTTTTTTCAGTGTCCCCTAATGTCTGTGTTCCCATGTGTCCCCTAGTATCTGTGTCCCCATGTCCCCAAGTGTCTCAGTGTCCCCATGTTTTCCAGTGTCCCCAAGTGTCTCAGTGTTCCCAGGTCTCCCAGTGTCTGTGTCCTAGTGTCTCAGTGTCCCCTAGTGTATGTGTCATCATGTGTCCCCTAGTGTCTGTGCCCCCTAGTGTCTCAGTGTCCCCATATATCCCCTAGTGTCTCAGTATCCACATGTGTCCCCTAGTGTCTCAGTGTCCCCATGTGTCCCTGCTGCCTTTCCCCCCATCCCTCACTTACCTGAGCTGTACAGCTGCTGTCTGGACTCTCTGTGCTGTGTTGTTGCTCCCCCAAGGATCAGTGAGTAGTAGAGAGAGGCAGGGATATTCTGTAACTTCCTATCCCTGCCTCTCTCCACACACAGTGGCCCCTACTGGCCGGTGCTGGTATTGCAGAGTAATTTCCATTTATTCTGTGAGAATTACCTGCGTTTGTATTGCCGGTATTACTACAATACCGGCACAGCCAGGCAGCCTCAAATACCATCTGTGCCATTAAAATACCAGTCAGGTGGCAAACCTAAGAGTACTGTGTAAAAAAAAAAAAAAAATTTTTAAACTGGGCCTATTCCATGGGCCTGGGCCTGGAGCTGCAGCTCCATCAGCCCCTATGTTAATCCGGCCCTGGTTTAATGGCAGCCACAACTGGCCTTATATGCAGGTCCCCTGAAAGGGGCACTCTCCCCTGGACCTGAGGGTGGGTGGAGGTATATCTGCAGGGAGGGATTTAATATATGGCAGAGAGGGTGGGGGGATATATGTCAGGGAGGGTGGGAAGGGGATGTCACAGGGTGAATTTACAAATACTGTGTAATAGCATTAACTCACCATTTAGGAAGGTACAGGAGCAGCTGGAGCTGTCTCTCACCATGCTGCTCTTTCAGCCACCAAGCAGTCCATTCTATGGTAAGGCACTGCAGCAGGTGAGGACTCTGGATCCAAGGGGCAGGGGACCTAGACAAGCTGACTCTGATCCCCTACATGCTCAGAGTGGCCACGCAGGGGAGCAACCTGGCTCTGTACCCCCTGCTGGTACACTTCAAAATAACCTCTGTGGTGCTCAGTGTGAGTCAGAATACAGGCTGGGAATCCCCTCCCTGTGCTCTGACTCACTGACTAAGCGCCGGCGAGGGAAAGGATATTATATGTGAACCAGCAGGAGGTACAGAGCATGGCACCCACCTACTGAGTGGCACCCAGAGCGGACCGCCCCCCTCAGTACGCCACTGCCTCTCCATATAATGCTTGCTATACTTGTATCAGCTGAATTTGAATTATGAGTAGGAAGCATTTATTATGTTTTGTATATTATGTACAATTTATTAGACTGTATTCACGGTTTCTGCCCACATTAGGGAATTAACATCCTTGACCAAATACAGTCAACAAGCTACCAATATTATCTTTTGGCTGAATGAAAGGTCAGTATGTTTATTTTATGGATTAAATTGCTATTTACTGTTGTGAAGGTGGGACTGAAGCTTCGTGGCCAAGTATATGGGCAACAATCTGGAAAAATGTTCTTGAATTTTTTTTTATTGTTTGTATCCTTGTCTGCTTTCTATGTCTGACCGACTAAATGGGCATTAACAGAGAGGCTGGTCTGTCTGAATGGTTGACATTTAGAGGCGTAACAAGAAGCCAGAGGGCTGCTATGCAAAAATTGCTCTGGGGCCCCCTAATGCATCTACCCCCGCCCCTCCATGTGTTTCATTTACGCCTCTAGCCCCTTCGTGTGTCTCATACATGCCCTTCTGGTGGGTGAGTGACAGGATTGGGGGAGTTATTGTGAGCGTGGCAGTGTGAAGGAATACACAGAATGACACTCATACACAGTAGCAGGGCCGTCTTTAACGCGGGGCAAACGGGGCAGCTGCCCCGGGCCCTGTCCCTGCTGGGGGGCCCAAGGCAGCTGCCCCGTTTGCCCTCTGCCCGCAAACTATGGGGGCCCATCGGGTGGCCCATGCACTTAAGGCCACTCGGTGGGCCTGTGTCAGCAGGGGCTCGGTCGGGTGCTGTGGCGCTTTAACAGTGCGACCGGGCTCTTGCTTTTCGGCAGTACTGGGAGGAAGTGACAGCCGCGCGTCACTTCCTCCCACAGAAAAAGGAGCCACGCGGGAGGAAGGAGCTGTTCTGGCGGGGGCCACCCAGCCACCCCACTGGACCTCAGGGAAGCCACTCTCCAGGAAAAGGTAAGAAACTGGAGGGTGGTTATCAAATTTTGCATGAGTGTCTGAGTGTGTGTATCAGTATGTATGTATATGTGTATGTCTGTCTGTCAGTGTATGTCTGTTAGTGTGCCAGTATGTCTGTGTGTGTAAGAGTCTGTCAGTGTCTGTGTGGTTCAGTATGTCTGTATGTGTGCATGTCTGTCAGTGTATGTGTGTATGTCTGTCAGTGTGTCAGTATTTCTGTGTGTGTGAGTCTGTCAGTGTCTGTGTGGTTCAGTATGTATGTGTGTATGTGTGCTTCAGTATGGCTGTCTATGTGTGTCAAAATGTCTGTATGTGTTTTTGTTTTATTTGTGTATGTGTTTATGTGTGTATGTATGCCAGAATGTCTGTATGTCTATGTGTGAGTCTGTCAGTGTCCGTGTGGTTCTGTATGTCTGTTTGTCAATATGTCTGTCAGTGTCTGTGTGTATGTGTGTTTCAGTATGTCCGTCTGTCTGTGTGTATATGTGCCAGTATGTCTGTCAGTGTATCTGAATGTCTCTGTGTGTGTGTGAGTCTGGCAGTGTCTGTGTGGTTCAGTATGAATGTGTGTTTCAGTATGGCTGTCTGTGTGTGTCAAAATGTCTATGTGTGTTTGTCTGTCAGTGTCTGTGTGTATGTGTGCCAGAATGTCTGTATGTCAATGTGTGAGTCTGTCAGTGTCCATGTGGTTCTGTATGTCTGTGTTTGTCACTATGTCTGTCAGTGTCTGTGTGTTTTGAGTATGTCCGTCTGTCTGTTTGTATAGGTGCCAGTATGTCTGTCAGTGTATCTGTATGTCTGTGTGTGTGTGGGTCTGTCAGTGTCTGTGGGGTTCAGTATGTCTTTGTGCATGTGTGTTTCAGTATGGCTGTCTGTGTGTGTCTCTGTGTCAGTACGTCTGTCAGAATGTGTCTCTGTATCTGTATGTTGTCCATTTGTGTTTGTGTCTGTATCTGTATATAGTCAGTATGTATATGTATGTGTCAGTGTTTGTATCTGTATATCTGCATGTGTGTCAGGTTGTGTATCTGTGTGTCTGTATGTGTGTCAGTGTGTGTGTCGGTGTATTTATATGTAGTCAGTTTGTGTACCTTTGTTTCTGTATGTATGTCTGTGTTTGTATCTGTGTATCTGAATGTGTGTCAGGTTGTGTATCTGTGTGTGTGTGTGTGTGTCAGTGTATCTATATGTAGTCTGTGTGTATCTGTATGTTCTTGTGTGTATCTACATGTGGTCAGTTTGTATCTGCATGTGTGTCAGGTAGTGTATTTGTGTGTATCTATATGTAGTCAGGGGGCCCAAGTAAATGCTTGCTCAGGGTCCAATCAAAATTAAAAACGGCCCTGCACAGTGGCGTACACATAACCCATGGGGCCCCGGTGCAAAACTGATCCAAGGCCCCACTCTCCTCCATTCCCCCCCGACAGACACACACACACATACATACATACAGAGACACAAACACGACACATACATACAAAGACACATGCATACATACAGACAAGACATACATACATAAAAACATACAGGCACACACACATACATACAGACAGGCACAGACAGACACACACACACACACACAACAAACATACATACAAAAACACATACATACATACATACAAACAGACAGACAGGCACACATACATAGAGACAGGCAGACAGACACATACATACATAAAAACAAATAGGCACAGACACAGACACATAAAGAGAGGCACACACACACACAGACACACACAAGACATACAAAGACACACACATACAAACACACACATACATACAAAGCCGCAAACGATGATAGCGGGCACCCGATCGCAGGGGTCTGCAGGGCGACTAGACCCCATGAAGTCACGGGCCCAGTCGCAGCTCCGACCCCTGCATTCGCGGTATGTACGCCAGTGCTCATACAGATACAGACAGTGAGACACATACAGATACATAGGTGCACACACTGACACATATACAGACATAAAGACACACATACAGACAAACAGATACATGTGAAGACACAAATACACATACAGACATAAAGATACACATATAGATACACATGCAGATACACAGACTATATTAATGACAAACATTGAGCTACACAGAATGACAGATACAAACAGTGACACATACAGATACATAGGGGCACACATTGACACACATGCAAACAGATACACATACAGACACACGTGCAGAAAAACACATAGACAAACAGATACCAATACAGACACACAAGCAGACAAACAGACACACAGATATACAGAGACACACACAGATATATAGACATACAGATACAGACATTCAGACACACACACACACACACACACACATGCAAACTGTAAAACAAAATTAGTCACCCTTCTTTCTTCAACCGTTTAAGGTGCAGGAAGGTTACTCCCCTGAGGTCCAGTGGCTGTCTTAAGCGGATGGAAGTTAGAGCTCCCACTCTGACACCTCCCCTCCTTCTCCAGCGCTCTCCTCCTGCATTGCTCTGTTAGGTGGGAGGAAGTAACAGCTTCCTCCCAGTGCTCTGATATCACTGACTGGGCCTCTGGAAATACCTTGGCCTTAGGTGGCCCCACAATGCAGCCCCGGCGGTAGTTCCTCACGGTCAGGGCCGCACCACAATGTCCGCGGGCACCCCGGTCACAGAGGTTGACAGGGCGACCAGGCCCCTGGAGTGATAGGCCCAGTCGCAGTTGCAACCCCTGCTACCGTGGTTGGTTTGCCACTGCTGACATTACATTAATACTGGTGTGTAACTACCAATAATACATTATCATGTAGTAATACTGTAATGTAGTTTTATAAACTATGAGAGAGAGGCTGCGCTGTACCAAAATTATCGAGAAACAATTTCAGGTTTACATTTGCACAAACATTGACTGCACACAAAATTTTGGATTGGGAAAAAAATTGCACAAGAGAAAATTTCTGCATACTCCATCTAAGACAAATAAGAGGGAACACTGGTGTGGGCTAGGAGGAGAAAGAGAATCAGGTGGAAAATAAAAAAGAACATATGCCTGTAACGATAGTGACCATCACAAAGAGTTTAAGATGGACAAGTCAATTAGGTATCGAATGATTCCTATGTTTAAGTCACCCTGTGTCCACTGTGGGTGCAGGGTGTGTGTGTCATTTGTTTGTTTGAGGTTAAATGTTAGTGTGCTTTTCTGTCTTGCTAAGGCTTGCAATCAACTTGGTGGATTTGGTTGGGGAGCTTGTATAGCGCTATCTGTTGGTTGCATGGATCTAGCAACAATAATATGCAATACCTGAATAGCAAAACATGCTAATTTGCATATTTGCGTAGATTTGCATATTGCTAATTCTGCAGGCAGGAGAGATATTTTCTGTTAATTATTGTCTTCCCCACCCCTTTATAAATATGTCATTGTGTTATAATAAATTACTGTATGTTGTCTGCTATGATCTGACTGTAATTTTTATTGAGTTGTCACAGTAATCTCTATGTAATGAACATATGGGCTAGTCCCAAGTAAAAATAAATTTTGTATGTTAGTTCCTTCTGGAACTTGTGTCCTCTGTTGATTTTTAGGGATCCCAGTGACAGAGTAAGTCAAGAGATGGGTAAGTTAAGAGAGCTAGGCATGAGAGCCCCAGGTGCCTTTGTAAGGCAAAATCAAGCACTATCAGCAGAGCTCCAGAGGAATAGGCAGAGGGGACAATACCTGCTTGGAAGGAAAGCTGCAGAGGAATAGGCAGAGAAGATGATCCCTGCCTGGAAGAAGAGCTGCTACAGTATAGGCAGAGGGGAGGATACCTGCCTGGAAGGAGAGTTGCAGCCTGGTCAACTGGAAGAGCTCTCTCACTCAAGCTTCAGTGACTGGGGCTGAAGCGTTCCAGGCTGCAAGCGGCTAGGTTGCGGACTGGGTGGAGGTACTCGGTTGGAGTACAGGAGCTCTGTCACAATGCCCACGCCAGAGCAGCTTTAAAGCAAAACCACACGCAAGTGCATCCAGTTTATCCTTTTAAAGTATACATTTTAAAACCATAATGTGCTGAGACGCATGAATCTTCTGAAAATGTCTCCAGGAAAAAGTGACTTCAGTTTACTACGACCTGCACAACCATCATATTTCAATCCATAAGAACACTTTCTGGAACGAGATAGAATGGAAGGGTTGTTCAAAATATCTGCACAAAGTGGTGATGCAATTAGGTCAGCATTGATCACAATCTCCATGCTAAGGAACATTCTGAAAACTATGTAGAATCCAGAGCAGATCAGGCTTTTCTGGGGACAAAAGTGGATTATATTCATGCTCATAAGGTGGCTAGGGGTGAGTGGAAATTTTGTCACCTTTTAAAACCAACATTGAGACTCTTCAAAATATTTGAACTTTAATTATAGATGACACAGAGGCTATATTATTCGATGAATAAAGTTTTATTGAATTGGAGATAAGTGGCAAGTGCTGATATTCATTATATTAAACTACCTTAACCACACAAAAACAAATAGTACCAAACCGCCCGTTTCATCTTCAGGTTGATAATTATATGAAATTGTAACAATTATCAACGGGAACATTTATTAAAATCACTTTGACCTCATTTGCCCTGCCTTTCTGTTTGGCAGACTCCCTGGTCAGCTTGAATCCTGACAAGGCTGCACATTGGGAGTTATAGTTACTTTGCCTTCTGTATATATTCCAATTTCCATACTGTGTTACAATTCTGAAGTTCCAATTGATTTAACCAGTATTTCTGCCATATGATTTACACAACACTTTGAAGGGACAAAATATACAGTATATTTTGTATATCACAAAACAGTATATAGCTGTTGCCTGCCAAAATGGATTATTATGTGTACACAGTGAAAACGAATAAAAATACAATTAAGAAGGTTAATCAATTTACAAGGTACAGATAGTGCCTACTAATTTGGTAGTTCAGTGGAAAACTCTTGGTTAGGCCTAGATCTGCATGTGGCAGAATGGCAGGATGCATGCAACAGAGTGCACATGGCAGGATGCATCCAACAGAGTGCACATGGCAGAGTGGCAGGATACATGAGACAGAGTGTACGTGGCGGGATACATGCAACAGAGTGCACATGGCAGAGTTGCAGGATGCATGAGACAGAGTGTACATGGCGGGATACATGCAACAGAGTGCACAGGGCAGAGTGGCAGGATGCATGCGACAGACTGCATGTGGCATAGTGCATGGATGTGGCAGATTGGCAGGATGAATGATGCAGCGTGGCAGTGGCAGAGTGAAAGACACATAGGGCATGTGCATGTGACAGAGTACATATGCCCATGACAGATTGGCAGAGTGCACTTGCTCGTGAAATAAAGAGATCTTACAGTTGATGAACAATACTATTTTGGTACATGTGTATTTGTTGTATGCTTTTTTCATGGAAGTGAAGGTAAAAACAAAAAATACATTAACTAATGTCAATATATAAATTAGAGCTATAAAAAAACATTATGACTAAATTAATTCTGAAATGTGGATGTTCAGTTGTTTCTGTATTTCTGTGTACGTGTTTGTATATGTACCTCTTACATACTTAACCCCAAGTGTGGTGTGAGTGGTGTGGGAGTGGGAACTGTAACCAACTCCATCTCCTATGTTCTTGGTAATATCGGAAGGAAGTTTAGGAAGCAGCTGGTGGGGGATGGGGTTCCCTATTGTATACAGACAGCAAACATGCACGTCTCAATACAGATTAATCTCCTTAAGCATTTAACAGGTTCCCTGGTTTAGACTGTGACTGATCCTTCACTGCTACAGGAAAGAAAAACAAATGTTGTCCTTTCCTGCTCCTCATCTGAGATAAGCAAACTAACTGCATGTATGAGAGAGCATATTTATTGCAAAACAGGCCTTAACATAGAGGGCAGGGTTAGCATTTGTAATGGTTAATTATAGGGGTAGAACATGAAGAGGAGAAGATGTAGACAGAAGCTGCCATAATTTGCAGCCAGGTAATAACCAGAAGTTGCAATCTGCATCTTCACCAGTGTCACCATTTTAAGGGTCTCTCCAAGTAAAGCCCATAATGACCACATCACATTAATTAATATTAACTTTAGCATTTATATAGCGCCATCATATTCCACAGTGCTTTACAATGATAAAATGGGGCTATTAAGTAATTTACATACGAAATATATAAGAGAGACAAGAGAAGAAGAAGGCCCTGCTGAAACAAACTTACAGTCTATGAAGAAGGGGTAAAGACACACGAGAGAAATAACAGCATGTTAGAGGGGAGGAGGGATTGATGGATAAGATGCCCGTGTTGAAAAAAAGCTAGTCAAAGTGGTGTGTGGAAGAGCCAAACAGTGGAAGGAGAGAGTGAACTGGGCTATGGAGGTGAGGGAACTGATGAGGGCAGTAAAATGAGAGAAGCATTACCCAGGAAGATGGTAAGCTTTCCTAAAAAGGTGTTTTCAGTGACGTCCTAAAGCACTAGAAAAAATCCTGCAGGTTTGAGTTGGCAGTGCGGGAACGAGTTGCTTATATTGTTTATTTTTGCTATTCTAATGTATATGTATTCTACAAAGAAGTAAGTAGAAGTATAGATCAGGGCGTTGCAGTGGATGTGATCTACTTGGATTTTGCCAAGGTATTTGATACAGTTGCTCACAATAGGTTAGTCTTCGAACTAAAAGAAATTGGTCTAGATGAATATTCTTCTTCTTGGGTAGAACATTGGCTTAAGGATAGAGTACAACGAGTTGTCATTAATGGTACATTTTCAAGCTGGACAAAAGTGGGAAGTGGTGTCCCTCAGGGTTCTGTTTTGGGACCGCTTCTATTTAACATATTTATAAATGATCTTAAAATAGGCATTAAAAGCCACGTTTTAGTGTTTGCAGATGAAATAAAACTTTGTAATAAAATGTAAGCAGGATATTGTTTTCCTGCAGAGGGATTTAGATAGATTGAGGGACTGGGCACTAAAATGGCTGATGAAATTTAATGTAGAGAAATGCAAAGTTTTGCACTTCGGGGTCAAGAATGCTCAAGCAACTTACACCCTAAGTGGTAGTGAATTAGGGATAACCACACATGAGAAGGATTTTGGAATTGTTATAAACAACAAATTTGGCAGCAATATGCACTATCAATCTGCAGTTGCTAAGGTCAGTAAGGTTTTGTCATGCATAAATAGGGGCATAAATTCTCGGGATGAAAATACAATTTTGCCTCTTTATAAATCGCTGGTAAGACCACACCTTGAATATGCTGTGCAATTTTGGGCACCTGTTCTAAAGAAGAATATCATGGCACATTAAAAAGTGCAAAGAGGAGCTACAAAATTGATAAAAGGACTGGAGCATTTTAGTTACGAAGAAAGGTCCCCTCAGAGGGGATATGATAACATTATACAAATATATTCGGGGCCAGTACAAACCATTAGATGGAAATCTATTCATAAACAGAGCTATACATAGGACACGAGGTAACGCATTTAGGCTGAAAGAAAGGAGATTTAATCTAAGGCAAAGAAAAGGTTTTCTTACATTAAGAACTATAAAGATATGGAATTCTCT